GTGTATAAAAAGTTGAATTCAATGCTGATATAGGTCTTTTACAACGACGTGATGACCACCAATGACGCAAATGACCATCAGAACCAAAAATACGCATAAATGAACGAACAACTTCATGTGAAATATCTTCTAATTGATCAACAAATTCACGACGTTTACTATCAAAATTTTGAATAAAAGTAGAACCACGTTTCATCATGTTTTCAAGATTATCTTGTAATTGAATACTTTTTTCCTACATAAATTTAATTAAGGAAAAAAGAGAGGATAAAATGATATTCATTTAAAGAAGAAAAGTAATGCATTAAATTACATCATTAATAGTCATTTAAAGAAGTAGAATTTAGGGGCATTTATTAAAATTTTAATTGCATGTATATTCAGCTGACCAGGTTAAAAAAGGAGCATACGACACCGTGAATTTCACGACTAGCTACTAACTCAACTTAAAGTGGTTGCAGTTTAATGGCAATGTTGAGACAATACGAATAGAATGAACATATTCTAAAAGAGATTTGATCAATTGTAGTCTTTCACACTAACAACAAGAAGATTCAAACGACACTTACAAATGAAATAGAGTGATATAATCTTTAAAAAATATTAACTTCATGTAATCGTAAGATATTTAGATTTTCCCCTTTTTGAAATCGTGGAGATTTACAACTCTGGAGGATCATTTTGTTAGTTACCGATGATGTTATTGTCTAGAAGGAATAATGAAAACATTAAGATAAAACCATCTTATTTCAAAGAAGAAGTAATTCTACCAAAAATTTACTTTAATGAGTAGGGAAAACAGCAGGTGTTTGTAGCCCGAAGACGTTTTTTTTAAATATCTTGTTGCTTTATTACTAATGATTGAGAAGTGGTTGAAATATCCAACTTCTACGATATTATTTAAGTATAAACAAGTAGTGACTGGAGTAACATAATTTTGTCGATAAGAGGGATGTTAGGTAACAGCATTGAAAAAATCATAAGATTAATTCACTAACGTTGACAGATTGAACATTTCTCTTCTGACATTGACTTGATTAAATATGCGCTGAAGAACAATTCGCTAGTGAAATTATCAGAACAGTGAATGAGCGAACACTATCATCATTAAATGTATGAATTATTTGATTGTTGATATGTTTAAATGAATTTCGATCAATCTTTTTTCTCATACGTGCATCCTGTAAGAATAAACCTCGATAGAGCCGTTTGTCACAAGCTTTTAATAGATAGTGTAGATGAATTGTGGGTAGCAGTGGAATTCAGGATACACTCATCTGAGACATAAATCTTTACTATCATTCGAAAAATATTTTGAGTCTGTTTCACTAGGCGCTAATCTTAGTTCAAAGTACATATATGTGTCGTAAACCTGCTTACTATTTGAAATACATATACTTTAATTTTTAAAAAAGGTTCTGAAATAAGCCTTATCGTGATACGTGATTTAAGAAATTCAACGTTTACTTATGGAAGTATAATCCGTTTATTATCTAAACTTATATATATATCACCTATAAATTGTAAAGATAGGTGAACTTCATTTGACCTGAATGAAAATACAAAACTCTGAGAAATATGATTCAATGATGTTTAGATTAAATACTAATACTATTACTACTACTACTACCAATAATAATAATGGCCATCGTCACATGCTGTCTATATATGTGATAGGGTTATTAATTCATTACTATCATGACGAAAAAAGTATTTCAGGATTACTTGTTTGTGAAGCTGAATTTTAATTTCAGGTCAACTAAAAACACAAAAATAGATGCAGGATGGAATAGAATTTTGGATAGATTAATAAAATACCCTTACATTTACGTAGAAAAGTTTAAGCAGAGATGTATAGTGGCTAACAGTGGAGTCAATGATGCACATATAATTCTATTTGGGATTCTTTGGCTGGATCCCACAGTTGACGTTAACTCGTGAATTCGAACTTAGTAACATTCGCTTCAAACGTCATCGCGTTATTCAGTTAGTTACTGAGTCCAGTTAGCCACTGGCTTGTGCAATGGGGGGAATTTTAATATATATATATATATATATATATATATATATATATATATATATATATATATATATATATATATATTAGTTTTCCACAGTTGACAGTTTATTTTGTAGATGACATTTGGTTTTTCTTCATTTGTCATTCCGTCCTTAGGTTCGCATTGGATTGATTGAAGTGATTTTGATGGTTTGTGTGTTACACCTATTCCAAACAACTTCAATAATCTCGTAATTTCTGATAGGTCTTTTAAATATGGTGAGATGATCCGTTTGGTGGTTTTTGTACTTGATTCCTCTTCTACTGATGAGTTGGGTTGATATTTCTTGATGAAGTTGCATAGACAGCTGTTCCTTTGAAAAATAGTCTTTAGATATTTTTCATCATTTTTCCGAGCTGCAAGTGTGTGTCCTTGCTCTCTTAAGTAAAGTTAGTACGCAATTGATTTTGTGAATTCCTATGTTGTTGCTACTGTAATTGAGAATTTGATTCATGTGGATCTGTCTACGATAAACCTAAGTTTACGGTTTCCCTGTGTTGGTTCTGGTGATTAGTACATGCAAGAATGGTAGTTTGTTGTTTGACTTCTTTTCCATTGTGAATGTTTTATCATTGAAGACATGTTTGTAGTAGCGATGATAGTGAAAGCTGGATCCAGAGAATACAGTTTTTAAAGGCAGAAAGAAACGAAATGTATGAAGGAATACTGGAGCTCAAGATCTAGATGAACAGTAAATACATGTGGACAACTGTAATCTATTCGGAGTCAAATCACCAGACGTTTTTTAGCATCTCAGCAGTTCACCTGCAAAGTGAGCAGAGCGGATAACTGTGTGAATATATTTGTATTAATAAAACCCTTTTTTCGTTATTGCCTAATACGATGAAACACCGATTAATTCACTATGAGGACACCAGACAAACATCGTAAAGTTGTGTATAAACTACTGACTACTAGGAGAAAAATTCAATATTACCAGACAAAATATTGATGAATTCGAGCAAACTTTACTTGATATCTTACAACATACATCGAGCTAAAAAAACCAACACAAGGTTTTTTCTCGTGTTGTCAAATAAGAAACATTGTACAAGGAGAATTCCAGTGCTGATTAACACTTATTAATTACTCGTCTATAATCTGTTGAATAAAAAGTATGAGGTAATTTGGAAATTCAAGATTTAAAGGAGGCTAGAATAAATACATGAGAGTCATTATGACTTTCGATTTCATTTCGAACATACATCTCGAATTCACTAACAAAGGTATTTTTAGCTTTGTATCTAACTATATTATTTCTTGTAATTTTAAGCCTTTTTGAAGTTTACAGGAAGTTTTGTTAAGAATAAAATCATTTTATTTTTTACTTTATTCAAATTTATCATAAGAGCTGATTAATTTAAACTCTTATTCATATTCTTAATGTTTTAGGCTACGGATATATGAAATTACATTTAGTATTATGGTAAGATATAGTTGATATTTGTTACATTCTGCGTTTACAATATCACATCAATATTAAAATTTGATTATATTGGATAGAGAAAACTATGGTAGAAGTATTTCTAAGATTAAAAATATGACAATTAATGAACTGATGTTATTGATAGTTAAAATTAACCATTTCAAAGGTATACAGCACCCTGATAATAAATATGATTTGTGATTTAGTACACAAATATAGCGTTCTATTTGATCCCATCAACATTTTATGTATTACTATGTGGACTTGGCGGATTAAAATTCTGATTTCCTAACATGGAATGACAAAGAATCCGGTTCAGTTTAGTTGTATATCACAAAAATCGAGGTTCTAACTAGCGGGAAGTTGGCTCTTACGTAAGAAAATAACTCACGATATCGAAAACAATGCCGATGTGTAAAAAAGCCCTCATAAAATGGCAAGAAAAATATTAAATATGTAATTATAGATCATGATAAGGAAAAAAATCTACCAGCATTAATTCATCAGTTTTGAACGTAAAGGAAATAATGAATGAGGTCATCACAGAATACAAACGACTAATCAGTAAGTAGAGCAAAATGTCATGTTTGTCCCGTAACTTCATGATAATCGAATTCTATTGATCAGGTTAGATGATTAAAACTGGTCGGCAGGAGACTTAGGTTTCGAATCCGATAGGGAGCATCAGTCCTCTCAAGATTATAGATACGTCTTAGCGATGAGCATTAACCAACACGAAACCAAATTCCAGGGTTTTATGTCGACTAATTTCAACCAACTAGCATTTGATGATAAATTGAAACCGAATGAATTTTCATTATTAACGTGTTTAACAGGTGAGGAGAAATAGACAATGTAGCTTTTGTTTCCACGAAAAAAACAAACAACAAACTAAAGAACAAGATTACAAACATGATAAGAATGACTGTTCACAAACTGACTCTTTAATAAATGTTTTAACTTTAATCAGGGAATTCTGAAATTTAAAACAAAATAGTTATTACGCACCCTACGGAATATTAGGATAAACCTTTCAAGTCAGTTGGAAACGATATATTCAGTTTAGGTTAATAATATATCTCAAGTTTGTACACGGACGCACACTCGAAAGTAATATTATTATAGAATTGAAGGTAAATACAGAAGAAGACGAATCTTTGATCAGTGAAATATATTAAGTGGCGAGACTATAATTTGTGGACGGAGCAACGAAGTTAAGGATAGGAAGTCTTAGATTTTAGTGCGAAATTCATTTTGGCACTATAGATTATAGCTAGTTCGTGATGAAATACCGTACTTTAACTACTAACCTTTAATTGTAACTCTAAATCCTACTTCTAATTCCTCATATTAATTTATAACTCTCTTCTGATCCTGGTAGGTAGGTGAGTTGCTTCAAGGTCAATAGCGTTGCTCAAAAGTTGTTTATAAATTATAATCCGGCCCATTAAATCATAATAATGAAAACTGATTGAATTGGTTAAGCAACATGTAAATTTTAACGTATTTTAAATGTCAAATATTACAATAATAATAAGATTAAGTACAGATATAAATCTATACAAGAAAAAAAACATGTGATTAAAACACGCTACATCAGTAGTTGGATAAACTGAAATGAGAAAAAAAGAACTGGGTTTGTATTTCTTAAAAATAATAAGAAGAATTTGGACAAGATGAAAGTCAATAGTGCACAGATAGTTTGTTTACAACGTGATCAATGGTACAGAATCATCACTAGTATCGCTACTACTGGTGGGAGTATTAGTATCGGAGGAAGTATTGTTAACATCATAATTAGTAATATTATTTCCATTTAATAAATAAAATCCAGAATCTTTTAAAATACCAATTAAACATTGTGATGTTGATAATGAATGTACCGATGATATGCAAATATTCACATTTAATAACCATAATGTTAATGGTTTTTGATTGATAGTAGTACAATGAATTTCAAATAATTTTTCAATTGTATTCAATGTTGATTGTGGTGATAGAAATGTAATGGAACAAGATGAATTTATAAGTGGATGAAGTGTACAAGACCAATTCACTTCATATGCATTCGTTAATTGATTAAAATTACTAGTTCTTACAAAATGTGGATAAATTAAACAAGATAATATGTCGAAATGATTCATTTGATGAATAGTATGATCTGATGGTATAGTACAATGTTTATGCATTGCTAATTGACAACTAATTGCAAATAAATTACAGAGAACACTTTTTGATTGATGACAATCAATGATACATTGTGGCACAACAACACTTATTCGATAAGTTACAGTATAATTAAATGAATTATTTAATATATTTTTATCCATATCCGATAGTAATTTCGACATTAATAAATGTATTATATAAGGTAATTGTAAAAGATTTTTAATGTCATTAGAAGATAAACATTTATACCAGTTAGTTTTGATTACATGATGAAATAGTTCCCCTAATTTATTCAGATTTACAGCACCTTCTAAACCTAAATCCCAATTAGATAATTTACCATTTACTAATAATAATAAACGACTAGTATGTATAGCGGTACGAATTTGTGCTTCACAACTAATTTCATTTAAATGAGGTGAAGCAATCACATTAGGATGTTGTAATAATTTACCCATAATGCAATTTGATGATGATGAATGGATTAATGGTTCATTTTCAAAAACATCTAATGCTGCACCACAACAATGCCCAGATTCTAGTGCTTCTAATAAAGCAATTTCGTCAATAATACCACCATTGGAACAATTAATGATTCTAATGCCCGGTGAACAGATAGACAATGTTCTAGAATTTATAAGATGCTTAGTTTCTGGTGTTAAATTAACATGTATTGTAAGATAATTTGATTCACTTAATACATTGTCTAATTCCATAACAGCATCTAACCAATCTGGTAAATTAGTATTATCGAAATTATGATTTGGATCATAACCAATGATACGCATACCAAATACTTTCATTCGTTGACCAACAGCTGAACCGATTTCATTATTAATACCTATGATGCCTAAAGTTTTCCCAGATAATTCAGTGATACGAAATGTAGCATTTCTTTCAGTGGATTTCTTTTTAATATTGAACCATTCAGAAGAGGAATTCAATAGAATATGAGGAATATGTTTAGCTAAAGCTAATATTAATCCACAAGTATATTCAGTTGTTGATATGATATTTCCATATGGTGCATTTATAACTAGAATTCCATGCTCTTGTGCTGTGATACAATCGATAGTATCCACATTCCCACCAGTTCGAACAATTATTCGTAGACCGAATTTACATGCCAATTTTAAAATCTGATCACTAATTGGAGTAGTTGAACTGATAATTAGAACACTAGCAGAAGATGATTGTAAAATATATAAGAGACGATCTTCAGAAACACAACTTTCTTTAAGATCATAAACAGTTAGACCATGATCTGTCAGTAGATCGACCGCCAATTCAACCAAATTGTCAGCGATAACAATATTATTCAAAACAGGAAGTAATGACATTTTATTAAAACAGTATTAACTCAAGTTTGATGTGATTAAAAAAATCACAAATGCCTATTTATAGTTATGGCATTATTGTATTTTGCTTAAATTACACGGCTACCAGGTCAAGTGTACACAATAGTAAATGCGAGTATAATAATGACAGATTAATAAGGTAGATAAGCGTTTAAGTGAGAAGTACGTGACTATGAACATTGTAAACTGATAAGGCCTCACATATAAATATATATATATATATTGATAATCTAGCAAAATAAGGTATCTATCTGAGTTGGTTCAACTTGATAAAATTGACAGCGGTAAGGGTGAAAATGAAACGATACATTTAGCCATACAAATGAAAAAAAATATAAATATACATTAGGCATTACGCGGAGGACAGTAATTGAATATAAAGTAAAAAATGTACTGACAGTCAACATCTTTACACTGAAAACTGATCGAAATACAACACCGTAAGATAATCAGTACATTACCATTGATGGTGCGTGAAAGAATGAAAATGCATAACACACCATATATAAAACTATTGGCTACTAACTAACTTTGAAGTAGTATTAATTATGTAGTGAAAGATTAAACAGCTTTAATGATGATCCTCATGGTGTGCGCTATATTAAAAAAATAACCAAAAATGCAAAGAGAAATAGTTGAAGATTAAACTATCCTAACTAATAGATCTTCATTAGGTGTTATTCTCATGCTGTAGCTAGAATATATCCAATCAAATGATGATCTATAGTAAGATATTATCACAGTTGTTAGATTGGTTTACAGGAGAGTTCCGAACCTGGGACTGACAACAATCGGTGAATCAGTGGGAATCAGGGAGAAATCAACAAACAGTTTTGACACAGCCGGAGAATCTCTCAAAGTGTGAAATCGACGGACCTTAGAATCTCTACATATTCCAGCAAGAATACATAAAATCCATTGAGTCATTATTCAATAGCTTGCATTTTCAACGTCAGTCAATTAGTAATGGAGCACAAGTGTTATTCATTCTTGTCAGTCGTTCAATAACACCCTTACTTTTGAAATGTTTGATTCAATTGGCTACGGTCTCTTGGCGAAACTGGAAAATCCAGTCAGTCACTCAACCTACGATTCGTTAGTGAGTACTTTCGAAACTATTAAGATACATCTTTATATACAGAAAATGTTATTCACTTAATTTCTCATGAAGTCTTTCCAATCAAAACAAGGAGCGATTAATTTGTCGGTTTATGAAAACATAGATTTGGCTCAATATAAAAGTGAGAGAAAAACATTGACATTGTAGACAACATTATCAACTCAAATTCCAAGTAAAAGTTAGATATTCGAATTTCTCCACATCTGGTTAATGTTTTTTAGCGAATTAGTTTTCTACGGGATGGGGTCGCTAACCCCATGCCCAACCCTCCTCCTTTATTCGGACTTGCGACCGGCAGTAGTCCCCTGGGGGGCACCAGGCGGAGTCCCACACATATGACAGACAGTTTATTCTCTCAATCATAATTTTGGTTGGTTGCTGTTGACACTTTTCCTGTCATTTTCTGCACATTAATTTTGATTGTCACCTGATTTCTGACCTTAAATTTTTTCCATGATTTTCCTAATTAGTTAATAAATAGGGTTGATTTTGATATGTTTACTGATTTTTGAGTGACTTTGAGTGCAAACCCTATAAATATCGTCCAATCTTCGTAATGTTCTATATGTCCGATATTTCAACATTTTCCACATTGAACATATGTCCATAATAGTTTTTCTACACTGATATGAGCTAAAATACGTCTTGATTTTTGACAGTTAGTTAGTTTTCATACGACGATGGTATCCACTTTGTCCGATATGACGTTCTCAGTTGAGGCAGTTTATCTTATAGATGATGTTTAACTTTTCTCCTTTTTGTGTCCATAGGAATAAGTGAAGTGATTTGGCTAGCTTATGTTCTACGCCTATTTCAAACGGTCTCAGTAATCTTATGATTCCCAATAGATGCTTCATATATTACACAATAATCTATTTGTTGTTTCTGCTGCTTACTTTTATCAAATCAGCCATTATCAATGTTTTCAAATATTGGAGTAACTCATTTACCAAGTATTTACAAATACAGATATACGTACTTGGCTTCCGGCCATAATTTATGTATAAGGGCTAGTACTACTACCCGGTTGTCCAAGCTGAAGTGGATAGAGTAGAATTCCGCAGAAATTATGACATAAAATACTTAGATAAATAAGATTGATTTATCTAAGAACAACTTATCATTCCTATGATTATTGTATCTCATACAAAATGATTATTGCGAAAGATTGCTCCATGTTGGCTGTATGTCCGGTCTGAATTAAATGGGCTAAAATGGAGCTGTTAACCGTTTTAACTACACCTTTGCTTAACCACACTGGGAGATGCTCACGAGCCCGAATATACAATTTACTAGAGAATCTGCCAATATAACTTGCTCCACAGGAGCAGTTAAAATAATAAAGAAAGAAGTGGCTGGTCTAAGCAATTTATCTTTCAACCTCGGAGTGATCATTTGACGTGTAGAAAACAGTAATTGTAGTTTACCTGCATTAAAAGTTCTTTGGATTGATCTGCTTAACTTCAGTCTTAGCATTTCACTGGGTTCATCGCCTCTGAATTGTAAGCGTATATACAGAGGCTTTTTATTCACGGTTAGGCATTCTCTATGCTCTCTCTTATTGGCTATGTTTTTATTTATAAATTTCTCAGGGTATCCATTTTTTTCAGGGTCGTGTATAATGCCATTGTTTCATTTTCGACCGTATCTAGAGAGCATATGGTCTTGATCAGGTTCCTTTTGTATTACAGAGGAACAAAACTAAGAAAGTTTGTATATTGGCCCGTCCAAGTAGTTTTCTTGTTTATGTTTCTTCTTAATGTCTTGTCTTTTCTCGTTGTAAGTAGAACATCTAGAAAGGCTATTCTACTCCCATTTTATTTCTCACATGTAAATTTTATGGACGGGTGAACTGTATGGATTCGCTCTAGTGTTTCTATCAAGTCCGTATGGTAGTTACAAAGGATAAACGTATCGTCCATATATCGGCAGTAAAATGAAAACTTGTCGATCTGTTGTGCCAGTGGGCCGTTTTCTAGTTTAGAGAGAAAAATGCCAGCTAATATGGGACCTAGGGGTGAACCCATCGCAACACCATCTATTTGTCTATATATTTCACCATTGAATTTGAAATGCACATTCATAGTACATTTTGAGTAGTAATTCTTTGATGATCTCCACAAGGATTGTAATTTCTAATTCTTGTTCTCTAAGTTGTTCACAAATATATTCTACAGTTTCTCTGAGTGGGACATTTGTGAACAATGACGTTACGTCAAAGGACATCATCGTTTGACCTTTCGTGTTTATGTTTTTAATCTTGTCGACGAATTGGAATACATCCTTAATACTATGCTTCATTAGGTGTTTGTGGAGTGGTTTTAAAACAGTTAATGATCAATTTGCTATAGTATGATAAGGGGAATCGTACATGTCCAAAATTGGCCTCAATGGGATATCCGGTTTATGTACCTTCGGTAGTCCGTAAAACCTAGGTAAATGGGTACCTATCAGCGATTAAAATTTTATGATTAACCAATTGCATCGAAGACATTCAATGTGTTCCTGAAGTATAACGCAAAGTTCACAGAAACGAAAACATCATTGGAATTTATAAAGAACTGTATTGAATCATGTCATTATCCGAAAATGTTCCATAAGTCATTACGCCGTAATCACGTTCAACCAAACAGAAAAACATTAAAACACTATGCACTTTAATAAAATTGACACATTATATAATGACTTGACAGAGATAGAAGTAAATATTGCACGCAGAAAATTTGCAGTTGATGAATTAACAGATCTGAAGTCCCAGTCTAAAGATTACGTCACAAGATAACTAAGGAAAGATCAGACAAGAAACATATCCAGCTTCCCGAAAGTCTACAAAACCATCCGGTTGAAAATAAATTTCAAATCAAACCTAGTTGACTGCAGCTATCAGTTTAAGGATAGTAGACATAACTACAGAAGTATTTTAACTAAAAAACACAAGGAGGCTATCAATGAACTCATTAATGACGAGAATCTGATTATCACAAAACCTGAAAAGGAACCGGAGCTATCCTACTTAACAAAAAAGACTATATTGGCAAGTTGAATAACATCTTGAATGATCACCAAAAATTTCGGAAACGGAATAACCAAAAAGACGTCAATAATGAGATAGAGATTGAACTAACTGTTAAGTTCGTTACTTGATTAACGCAGAATACGGTTTACGACTACGACAATCGAACGTTAGAACTTCGCCGTTGCAAATCAGAAGAAAAGCTGGAGAAGTGTTTACTTGGTACGAATCAAAATGTACAGAAAATCACGGGTATTTATAGATATTAGCATTTGTTAAATCAACATTATATTTCGGCCAATCCGCTAAGAGACATATTATGCTACTAACCAATAGTAGCATGCCACGTTGATATTCTAGGAAACTCCGCCATGTTCTGATTGGCTGGAACTCTTAGGCTCCTTTAGGGCCTCTGGAAGCTCCTTTGTAGCTCTCGAAAGCCGACTTAAGACCTCCCCGGAATAAGGTTTCTTCCTAGAATCCACTTGTAACTTGACAACTAGTTTGTGGCGGCGTTCCATTGTTTTTGTTGTCTTCCTTGTTCAAGACTTCCTTTCAGCGTTCTTGGGCGTATGTAACGTTGATGTGTCTGAGATTAACTCCAACGGAAGATTCGGCTGATTATTTTGAGGCGATTGAACAACTGGATAGGCAATCATAAAAATCCTAACAGTCCTGTAGTGACTTACTTTTATCACGAGAACGCGATTGGTTTAATGAAAACAATTATTATTATAACCAATTGTACCAGTGATTGTTTTACTGTGCTCGTTTGTTTAACTGTGCTAATGACAGACATTATTGTTTCGTGGTTAGTGACTCTGCTCGGACGTACTCCCTTCTGCTGCTTCTGCTTGTACCTTTTCTTGGCGCGATCTTGGTATTCTTTCGATACCACGAGATCGCCAATCAAATAAACTTGGTTCTATTCTGCCTTCTGATTTTATTGGCACGTATTTCTCAGTAGCGGTGTTCATAGTCAACTGTGACTCGACACCACGCTACAATTGGTGAGCCGTTTTTTGGAACACGCCACAAACTCTGGTCCTTTCGCCCCAGGAAGTCATTTTGGTGAGTCCGTTGTTTTTCTATCCACGTCTGTCGTGTATTTTTATATTAATTTTTAATATAAACTATACTCGGCATGACGGATAGCGATAAGAGTGGCATTAATATCATAGATTCTGAAATTGTGTTCATCAAGATCCTATCTACAAATTGTAAATGCCAATGATGGTCTTTTTCGATGTGAAGAGAATGGAGAGAATGAGAAACCACGAAAGCTATTTTTTGGGATTTATACCATTATTCGTCAATATTAGAAGAAATAGTCTGACGAAAATTGGACATCGAGTATAGAGAAGTCATTGTATGTAAAAATTATATTTGAAAGAATCTCAGCGATTGAAATTCAAAATAATTCCGACGTTTCGTCCAAGAAACTTGTCTGGACTTCTTCAGGGTAATAATCAAAATCAAAATCATCAAAGAAATATGTAGCGTTTATTAATCAAGTCTATACTATGTTAATCCAATCACATTTGGATGTTGACTCCAGTAAATAGGATAACATGAGTTAGTTAAATGCAAATCGTGTGAAAATAAATGACTGAACGAACTCTGTGTGTGTATGTAGGTGTAATATTGAGTCACTAACAGTTGATATTAGGTGTTAATATGTTTTGGTATGAAGGAAAAAATAAATGTGAAAGTTGAAGATTGAAAAAAGTTTCCTTAGGTCAACCAAGGATTTGGGAACACTTCTCAAGCACTGTTTGTGTTCCTTCCTGGACATTCCTCCCACATAAGCTGCAGTATAATCATGAAAGTTGATCTCACAGACAATATTTTCTTGTCCTTCCTTTGGGAACTTATCCTTAACTTTCATTAATGCCGATCTTATGGTGTCACAAGCCCGAAAATACACGCTTATATCATACTTGCTTGGAACTCTCTTGATTTCTTCCGATGTTTCACTACGGTATGGGATAACCACGGTGGATTTCCAATTCTTTGGAATATTGTCTTGCCGGACGTCTAATCTGTAAATTGCCAATACTTCGTTATGTGCCTGCTTTATCTCGTAAATCATAAACTTTTGATTAATTTATAAATTACTGACTCATTTTCTTCTACTCCAACATTATTGTAATTTAAACGTGATTCTTGTATTTTTCTGAGGGAATAACCGCTCGTTTTCGTTGTTCAATAGAAGTGCAATAATATTTCCGAACATTTCTCCACTAGTTTAGTGGATGGGTATTGCATATAAGAGCGTGATTCTCACTGGACATTTAACTTCAGTCATCTATATCTTCTAGGAACACGCCACTGCAGAGCATTCCAACTTGTTAGATGAAAAAATCTAACAGGGTGAAATTTAGAGCTTGAAATGAAATAATCAGTGAAAATTATGGTCTTATATACAGCATTCACGAACTGAATTAATGGAAAACTAGACCAACTTGTCCTGTTATTCCATAATTATATGACCTCCCTAAAATGAAGATAGATAGCCCTTTGTGTCCTATATTAGATATGAATAACTCGTTATTTCATGTTATCGCTAAATGGCTAGCTGAAATTCTAGGTCCAGTTAGAAATCAACTCAATATATACACTGTGGCTGAGTCGTATGATTTTGCTAATTCAATAGCAGGTGTCAGTGTAACAGGGAACAAAATGAGTTCAATAAATAATACATTTCTTTGATAAATTTAGTTAATGATGTAACACCACTCATCAGTATCCAATTTTCCCCAGAGAATTTTAACATCGGTATAGTAAGATAAAATATCAGGAAAAGTTTAACATATTACATAAACACTTTATTTTACTGGGAAAATAAAATAAGATTGTTAAAATGATACCTGGTATAATAGGAATTAAAAACTGAATAGAATGTATGCACATACTACTAATAAAATAGAATTTGAGAATGAAGAACGAACTCACTTTCATATAACTAATGTTTAAATCTTTTCTGGACAAACCACGTCGTATATTTCTTCTTAAATAAACATCATAATCACGTACAATACGTCCGATTACATCAGTAGTAGAAATTCCTTCTGTACGTTGAGTTACAAGAAACCTTAATAAAATGATAGAAATGAGAATTTTTTGAGAAAGACTTTTAAAATGAATTCACTACACTATAACACGTAAGTGCTATGTAAATGAAATAATAATAGAAAATATTAAATAGACTAGTAACATTTCAATTATAGGGGATTAAACTGTTCAAAAAATCTTTATAGACAAAAAAAAGATAGTTAATATCTGAGTGTTTTTGAATACATTTTTAATTAGTGAATTACATTAACTTCAGTGATCAGAAGAATTATAAAATAAATGAGAAAACATTGTTGGAATGAGATACAACAGTTGTTATAAAATAATACAATAAGATTCATTAACTTGGATAATCTAAGTGAATAAGTTATCAACACAAAGATAGTAATTAGATCATTAATTAATTTCATATGACATGGAGAATCTGAGGAATGCAAATAACGAAATTATTTTAAGCAGGACGATATTGTTTGAGTATCTTCAACACTGATAATTAGGAGAAAAGTTAACTATTAAACAAATGTATTAAATTTTTTTAAAAGACCCTACAGAATAGTAAATTATAAAAAATTGCTTGAATATGAATGTCTAGTAAGCACACAACAAAGAATCATTACATTGAAGTATAACTACTAGTGTGACTGAATAATTTGATGGGTTAAGTTGGCTTTTAATCATTAAATCAGTGGTTCAAATTTTATTACAGTTAATTCAGTTTCAGCAATTTGATACTGTTGGCGGGACATAAACTAGATTAAAGCATGCTCAATGCATGATTGCTTTGGTGCGCGCTGATTGGCTAATTCTTATCCAATCAGCACTAGTCGATAGTTGGAGAATACTCTAGAATCTTCTCATGTAAAAACTATAAATATACTGACGTTTTCTCTATTGTGCTTCTGACTTGCTTCTTGCTTCCATCTAACCTTGTTATTTGGAATATAATCTCCTTCCTGTTCAACCGTGTTTTGATTTGGGGACTTGTCGAGTGAATCGGTGTCTGAGAATACTAAGCAATAGGAATAGTTGGGTCATAACCGTAAGAAAAGAGAGATCATAACAGATACCACTGTTGGTCATATTATTTAGTTCACTGAGGTAAATTAGTCTTATTAGTAAGTGAAGACAACGTACTTGGGATCTGGGGGAATATCGTAACCAATGGTTAAACATATTGGTAGACATAAGCTCTGAATTGGTGGTGGTAGATTTCAAAAATATTTATTAGTAATTCAGTCTTTTTTCTTAAAGTATGTAGACAACACTTAACGTTTTGTACTACTGCCGATATCGTTACTACTTCTACCATTCTGACATTTATATTGGAAATTCTATCGCACTCTATTGATGTGACGTGGCAGCTTGAACTTATGCGTATACGTATATAAATAATTTTAATAATTTAGTACAACCCAGTTTGCGTACTCGAATTTGATTTATAATATTTTATGTGAACATCAATGATACCTTTTTGTTAACCAAACCGAGAAAGACTTGCACTACTAACCTAAAGTTTGGAAGACAAAAGCTTCTATTAATAAACATCTATTTAATTATGTAATGGATTTTTTGACATACTAGATGAATGAAGACTAGATACATTTTTGGCAAATTAAATGTCATTGGGTGGATATATATATGAACTTTTAAAAACAAACTTGTGGTAAATTACAGCTTAAAACCTATTGAAACGAATATAATAGGATTTGGAAAAAAATTTCCATAAAAAAACTCATCTTTGTACTTTTTTCAAGTTCTTGAATAGTTAAAGTTTTTTATAAGTATAAAAAAGGAAACAGAAAACAAAAGGGATAAAAAAGCAGTCAGTTTTAGGGAGACTCTAAAGATTAACTTGATTAATGTAACACACGCCTTAGCCAATCATTAATTCTATTTAAAATATAGCCTGGTACAAATGTGAGTTAGACCTAATCGTCATACCAAATCAGAACAGACAGATGAAATTAACAAAATACATATTAAAAGAGTCAGAATAATTGTAGTAGAAGTGATATTGAGAAAGACTAAAAATTGAAAATATGCTTCGAAAAGGTAGCATGCACCTCAATGAGTTGCTCACCGACTATGTGGTCAAGCTCCCAAGTAGTCAAGTTCACTTTCAATCTAGTTTCTCTTTTTCTTGTGCACCTACCAACAAGGCTTAATTCAACAGTCAATAATTCCACAGACTGACCTCATATTTTGGTTTAGTAAGCACTAATTTCACCCAACCTTTTCTTATTTCAGCATACATAGTGAGTCATTGCGAGTATGTGTCACACACGTCTCAGCCGCCGAAGATTCACAGCCTCATCAGTCGAATTTTCATCACTGCCTAATATATGTAACAGATCAACAAGTAATTTTTGTTGACATTTGATTTATAGTTGTGTGGAAGTCGACCGCATAATTTCAAGTAACTATTTCAAATAGCCACTGAAGGGAATTTATAAAACATGAGAAATTTATGATTAATAGGATGAGCATAGTAACTATGACTATTGTTAGAGTGAAACAAACAATATGTGTGAATGTTAAACAGGAAATCTAAGTAGAAACAACTTGATAATAACAAAACAGAAGGACATTGTAGACGTATGAGTAAATATGAAAAGAATAATTGAACTAATAAAATAAAACTCTAAAACAAGAAAATGATTAAGACAGGGGTAGTTTTAAAGTGCAGATTTAAAACAAAATAACGGCTAGAATAGGGTGTTAGTTAACAGTGATATTCAGGACGCGCGTTTTATCCTATTTGTGACTCGTTAGCTGGATGTACTTGCATCCCACAGTCGATGTTAACTCTCGGACATGAATCCAGTACCTGTCGCTTCAACCGCCACCAAGTTACCCACTTGGGTACTAAGTCAAGATAACAATGAAAGCTCCACAACTAAACCATCTAGCCCAGAAAACGAAACTTCACCTGAAAAAGTTATATCTAGATCATTAAATTGGGGTGTATCCCATACTTTAAACTCCAATCAATCCTATTCAGGTCAAAATTAATGGAGATGTATTCAAGATATCTGATGGATTCATATTTGACAAGACGTACCTTGAGGGAATGGATTCCACCTGTATGATATGAATATGTCACCCAATTATACAGTTCAGGTTGCGGCTACGTTATAGATACACCTTCTCGAAGAGTGCTAGATAACACGAAAACTAGGTTCAGAGTTTACAATCGACTATTTCAATCACTTAACATTAATTTATTTTAAATGCTGTTTGTATTTTATCTCAATTTATAAAGGGATAAATTTGTACGAACCTACTGATAAGTGAGGTAACTACGCTTACAACAATTACATACATTCATTGTTATTGTAATGAAACTGAGAAATCAAGATTAAGTAAGACAATAAATAGATTTTTCCAGAAAATCATGATTGAATCAAAATCTTTTTACCCGTGATTGAAAATGGATAATTTATTTGCACATCAATAAAGGCATTATTTTCATTGAAGCTTTCATTAAACGGTAAACTTTCAGGTAACAATTACATAAATGATAGAAAGTTACTTAATTTAAAAATTATTTAATTGATACTACATTTAATTAGATAATACAATGGAATATTTTTCTGTGCAAGATAAAATGATCCAAAGAACCAAACTGATTTTATTTAAGAGATAAAAACTTACATGCCAGCATCTTTCAGTGGTTTGTACACATCTTCACTATCAGGTGATGCATATGGAATGTCATCATGTGCAACAAAATCAATCTGTGAGAAATTGAAAAGTTAACATACAAATCAAATTAACAATGAAGATATTTCTTTTAAATGTTGTGTATGACAAATTAATAAGACTGATAAGCTTATACATGAAGATGTCAACCATACAAAAAGAAATGACAATGATCAGACATAAAATGTAACAAAACTATAACAATGATAAATAAAAATTAGAAATATTAATAAAGACTTTATTTAATAACATTTTAATTGTTACCTGAGAATGGAATGTAGCATATTAGAAAAACCACGACAAACTATGCTGATGATTTCAATTGATGATGTAATCTGATGCATAACCTCAGAGAATTTACCCATATATCAACAAATGGCAATCCAAGAGAACCATTCTCGATTGAATAATGTTATGTATAAACTGACTACATTTTCGCGAATGTCCGGCGCTTTAACCGGGTTGGTGGACATAAAGCCCACTTAGGGGAGCTGGGAAACCCCGATTCCAAATCAATGGTGCACATAGGCCCCATTCTCCTGAAGGAACAAATGGCGTATTAACCAATCGTTGGTCACCGGCTACCATGGGACTGCATCTACTTACGATGCTCCACTGCCTTGTGGATCAGACCTTCAAGTCGAAGGCTCCGGGTGTGGCCCCCTAAGAAAACCACCTGCTTCGGTTTGGGAATCCGGGCAGCATCACAGCCCTCACACATATCAAATGAGATCTGTGTGACGCATATTTATTTGGTGCCTCCTTGTGCCAATATCTATGTCTTAAAATAAATAAATAAAATCTCTTTTATCAAGGTTTCAGTATAAAGCCCTTAGTACCACACATATGCAGAACGTATTAAAGTCATTCAAGAAACTAAAGAAACGCAGGATAAATAATGGTTCAACCTCAGTGGTATTCGTATGACATTTTTGTTTGCGCACAGGTAAGTTGTTCATTTACTTATTGAAGGGCAAATACACTACATAAAAATCCATCTTGTTCTAATATATGGCCGTGATATATATATATATATATATATATATATATATATATAAAGTAGAAAACATTTGCAGGTTACTATTATTTACTCGCATATGATGAAACTAAGTGAGTAATGATGATTTTAGGTGTCGAGTATTAAGAGAAAAGCACATGAGAATAATTAAGCAAAAATCACTTAACAAATTAAATCGACAAA